GACCAAGGGAGTGGTCTCAGCTGTTGTTTGAATTCAATCATGATTGTACAAATGTACCAGATGCAATCCAGTAGGAGAGGGTGACAATCTCATCACATTTCAGTAATAATGGAAAATGCAAATGTGTCAATTGGCATACGAAGGACCTTGAAGAGTAAATTGTGTAAACCTGCAAGCAGTTCAACCCATTGCAGGCTTTCAAGTACATTCCTACTTTCCCCTACTTTTTTTTTACCTTGCTCCTACAATGTATTTTTCGTATTTTTTTTTAATTCCTACTTTTTCGTACTTTATTGTCCCACAACTATGAAAAATGAATTTCATTGAATATTTTTCATAACAGTGTTAGCAAAAGCCCACAGAAGTCCTACTCTTATCCTGATTTTGTCCTCCAAGGTCCTAATTTTGTCCTGTTTTGGTTTTTTGTTTTATCCTACTGGTACTGTTCTCCTACTTTTTCACCTGGGTCTGCTTGAAGTCTGCCATTGCCACATGCAGAAATGTAGTAATAATCAGTCTTGATACATTTGTATCTCACAAAAATCTATCCACCAACTGTTGGAATCCCTCATGCTCAATCTCCAGACAACGGAGAGAGCACACTGCCTAACATGTTTAGTTTCTCATGGTGCTTTCGCAGCCACACTTGTCACATGGTGCTTTCGCAAACCTACTCTTAGGAGAGAATGCAAAATTAAACAGGCGGTAACTAGGTTTACATGTACCTCAAGGTTTACCTCAAGGTTTTATGAGGTTCTATGTTTTTTTTAACAGGGTACCTTGGGCTTGAACCTTATTGTTACTGCTTATGTAATTTGTAACTAACATGACTAAGGCCAAGAAAAATACACTTGTGTTTCCGGTTACCCCACCCAACCAAGAAAAATCATGGAGAGCCAAACTCTTTTTACTTGAAAACTGAATGAAGAAACTTTTGGAGCCACCCTCTCCACCTTCCCTAGTTTTTGTGGACATCGTCCTGCATTTTTATAAATGTTCACTTCCTTTTTCGTAAGTTGGTTGACAGTAGAATTTTTTTAGCCTCCTGCTGTTTCAAGAGTCACAAACAGTCAAAAAATCAATCCTCTTCCCCTGCCATGCCTTTTACACAGGCTAGTCACCAACAGTCAGATCATGTTTGAAGCAAGCACTGTGAGTAGTCAAATTCAGTCAATTGACAGAAGCAGGCAAGTGGTAAGCACAGCTGGCATAAACACCTACAATCAAAGGATGTCCCCTGTATTAATTAACCCTAACCTTGCTGAATCCAACAGGATCCAACTACCGGTATGTCACATACCAGATGGAGCCTGTTGGAATGAGCAGTTAACCCCTTTTGTTTACATTCCTCATGCAAAATGTTGGATTCAGCAAGCAACTGAACCGCATTATAACGCATTGTTAGATTCCGTTGGATTCAGCAGACAACTGGTTAGGGTTAAGTTACAATGTACATAAACAGTCACAGCCAGTCAATCCTGCTTTATGTACATGTAGGCTGGGAGCTCTTAACTATTGAGAACAGTCACTTAATTGATTTTACCTAAAATGACAACTTGGCACAGAATGTATGTTTGCATAGGAGGATATGTATACATTAACAGACCGTGTCTTTTTCCCTACCGGTAAGTGGTGGGTTTTTGTCCTCAGTGAAAGAGGAGATATCAGTCATGCATGAATACAGAGAATTTCGAACCACCTGGCAAAATAATAAGAAGCAGAAATTCCACACCGTTACAAAATGTGATACAAGTAACAGTGCAGTATTTGGGGCTTTGTGGAAAACCAAGGTCGCAGGTTCAACCTGTTCAACCATGTATTAATTGAAAGTTCAGAAAAGATTCAAGAACATTTCACATGCTATTTAAAAGGTGGAATTACTTTGGCTGCGGTAGCCACTGTTATAACAGATTCAAACAGCCAGCCAACCCCAGCAGGCTCGGTGTTTGAGTGGTAAAAGACATCTGCACTAATGTTCTGCATCGGGTAGGGCTGACCAGGCCAAACTAACCCAAAACAATATATATATAAAGCGAATTCAACCAAAACCGATCTGAACTCCCTAAAACCCACCCAACCCGCCCCGACAAAACTTAAAGGAAAACTGACCCGAAACTACCCAAAATCTAACCAAACCGGAAAAAAAAACCTAATTTGTGGCGTGGGCAACTGTGTCCGCTTTTTGTGCCTGAACTTACTCGCGTCGCTTGAAAATCATCGTGGATCTCTCAGTAACTGAAACATACCGAACGGTACAACGTGACCTACTGGTGGGCCTACATACATGCATACATGTACATGTGTAATAATCAGATTTTATGAAACTTCAACTTGTCTTGTTATATCTTAAAAAGTTTTTTAAAAATGAATGGCAAGAGAGTAACAATGAAAGGAAAGTAAAGGGTTGAAAGAAATACTAAAAGTGCCCGTTATCCTTCATGTGAATTTAGTTCTAAATCTGTCTTCCCAATTCCCGTAATGAAAATTGCATTTTGAAGATAAAATTAGTCCATTCGTTTCCTGTTCCAAATTTGGTTTCAGTTCTGTTTATTCCTTTTATTAAAAAAAAAAAAGGAATCAGGGATTTCACCAGAATTTTTATCTAATTAACCTCCGGTCTGCTATGACGTACATGTACGCACAGGCAGTCATGCATGTAGATTTCCACGGGTGATTGCAAAAAAGGAATTTCACAATTATGGTTTTCTGGACAGACACGTGTAGTACATGGTGTACATGTAAAGCACCTGTAGGCAGTGAAGGACCTTTGAACCGAAAATAATTGCCAATTATCTTGTATCATCATGTACAGATGTATGTACATACATTACATTGGTTGCTAAATGTTTTCGAGAGCGAAAGAGATCACTTCTTCAATATATTTTGTTTTTGGAGAGTAACAAATAAATGTATACTGGTACATACATTGTATTATTATGTAAACTTGCGATGTGTAAGACTGATTAATGCAATTTTTCACACTGAGATGCCTGTTCTGTCATGTTTCGTACATTCAAAGCTGGCTTTTTTCCAGGACTTCAAGTTTAGGAAAATGTCATCCCTCATAAAACAATCCACTTTGTAGTAAATTTCCGTTTCTGTTGAATCAATTTATTGTACCATTATAACAGATGTATACACATGTACATGTACATGTACATGTAGAACATTATTTTTCATACAAATGCATACAGTGAGTGTGCATTTTACAAATTGAAATTGAATGAAACTTATGAATATACATGTATGTATGTATTTGTTAGACTTGTGACCAAATTTCATCTTAAAACATGTAACTGATCTAACCCAGGCAGCTCTTTTGCTTTCGTGAATTATAATTTTTTCCCCATATAATTACAGGTGATTTGCTTTCAACATCTGCAAAAGGTTATATTGATGAGAAGTGCTGATACTCAGAATGAGGAAATGCAACTGTTAAAAATGCAGCGATGAGTTCGGTGCAGGGGCTGTCTTTAGTTGGATGATTGCCCCAGATACAGTCATGCTCAGTTTACCCGCATAAGTTGACAATTCTCATTAATAAGGGAATAAATGTGTGCTCCGGAGGTTTTTATCACTCTGTTTAATACCACTTAGAGTCTGGGTGCTGATAATTACCCGAGCCGGAGGCGAGGGTAATTATCAGCACCCAGACTCTAAGTGGTATTAAACAGAGTGATAAATACCGACGGAGTACATATTTATTCCCATTCATAAATACCTTTTCGGTAAAAAAAAATCATATAATTCGTTCAAAACATCCCGATTTTGTTCAACAAATTCACTTTATGCTTTTTGAAACATCCCTCCTGCAAAATAATGGAGTGTTCAGCTGGCGAGTAAGATGAAAACAACCCTTTTATGGAGATTGACGCGCGCGTATCATGTTCTACGCGATGTCGCGCAGAACGCACCTGGCGCGTTGCGTTTTGAATTTAGAACTTTAAAATTCTAACTCCCTGGTAGTGTTGCGCATGCCTACGCGAGGATTGTGAACGTTCAACCAATGAAACGATAAGAGGCACTGGATTTTTAGGAGTCCATATTTTATTGTGACACTGGAAAAGTGTTTAAGACCAGCTAGCCATGACTTTATCATCCGTTTAATACCGGCCACGTGACGGGCTCTCGACCAATAGGAATGGCTAAACTGTCTGAGGTATTTATGAATAAATAATTAATGGTCCATGTACATGTTAATGAGGAACTTCCTAATAGAGCATCACGCATGGCCTGTTCCATGAATAAGTGGGACACAGGGAAGTACGTACATGTAGGCCTACATGTTGTCCCTCTACTGACCCAATTAGTATCAGCCCATACTGTCATGACTCTATCCCCTGACCCATTTAGTTATTTTGTCCGGTGTGCTGTATTTGTTTTGTTATTTTTTTCTGGAATACATGTATTCTGTCCACATCAGCCATGAGAAACCGATTATAAATTAATTATTATACACGTGTACATTTACATGTGTGTATGTATGTATTTATATCAAAATTCAGGGATTTCCATGGACATACATGTACAACATGTACGTGTGAATTTTTTGTTATTTCGTTATAAGTACAAGCAGATGTACTAATAGTATCACGTGGTTTGCACAATACCGGTAAGTGTGTGTATTAAAGCTTACGATGTGTAGCATTCTGTGCATTTTCATTTGTTAATTGCAATGTTGAAATTGTTACCCAGGATACAATCATGCACCTTTGGTTTAATTTCACTGTGAGAAAAAAATACCCCTGAAAGTTTGATATTTTTAGCACAGCCCAGCCATAGAAACTGTCCACAATGACCTTACCGGTACATTGTAAATCCCTTCTTCAGGATGTTGAATAGTACGCTTTCAATCCTTTGAAACCCTTACAATCCCCTGAGCCCAGCTGAACGGTGTCACCCCCCCCCCCTTCCTCCTCCCCTTCGGTATAAATGGAACAGTCTTAATGGATGGTTGAGCTGGCGGTCACAAATGGTCAAAGAGATGATGTCATCCTTAGGAATCCTCCAGCGTGGAACCGGTATGTGGGTACCGGTGTCTGCGTGCTGCCGTGTTACTTCCGTCACTTTGCGGTTTGTGCACATGCTGCATTGACATTTCTGAGCGGAGATAAGGGAAATTCTTGGCTTGGAATTCGTGGATGTATATTTGGATTTTATATCACTGAAAGTTTGTTCAAGGTAATGTTTTATGATTTATTTTATTTATCATGATATTTTAAATAAATCGGGGGGGGGGGGGTTCCTGTTAGGTTTGATTTTAAATGTTCATTTGTTTGAATTTATTTTATAATTGCGAAATTTTTGTACTTACCAATTTTCTTCATACATAATTTACATACATACATTTGTATAGGCCTAGTACATGTGTACCAGTACATTATACATTTGTACAATGTATTGGCACATGAGTATTTTGGACATATACATGTATGTACGCTTATAATTATAGATGTCATTGAGTGAACTATAGATTTATTGGAAAAATAAGTACTTTTTAAAAGCTGTGAGTCATACATGTATATTGATTATGAACAGACACACCGGAATGTGTGTAGAAATGATCAAAGATGCCGCTGTACGCTACAGTATACATGTACATGTAGGTCTGTCAATGTCATTGATTATTGCCCAGAGATTTATAGATAGAAATACAAACTGTAGTATGGATTTTGATTTAGAATGCGCATCATCTGACATGTCAGATGTGAACTTCAGGGATGGACGATTCAATGGATATTGAGATAATGTACATATCCAGTTTTTGCTAGTGTTCATCAATGCTTTTGTCCAAAATTGTGTTGCCTTCATTTTCTTGTCTTGTGATGAAAGCACAGTACATGTATGCAAACATTATTTTCTCTTCTTCATTTTTTAACTAGGCCTTATGTTGTATCTGACTGACTAAAATCTGTTCATTGTGTAGCTGTGCATATGATCCATTAATCAGTTCGTGAAGAAATAATTAACAAACTGACAACAAGGGCAAATCTTTTCTTACTATTTGTGGTAAATTATCATAAAGGAAAAGAAAGCAAGATACAGGTATGTATGTGTGACATTGGAAGCGACCTTCTGCGTACTACTGCGTAAGGGACAAAACGTACTACTTCAACTATTTTACCTGTACATCCCCATTCTCCAAGTAATTTAAATCATTAAAAACAACTGATTGTAGGGCTCTGCTGCAATTGAGCTCTTTGAATTCAGCAAGCTTGTCGTACATGTACATCATGTTGTCAAGCGACAAATGAGCATCAGTAAGCAGAAACTTGTACATTGTTCTGTTTCTATCACCAGAGAAAAGAACTAATATTTTTGTCTAAGTTACAAGTTCTCATGGCATTATGTTGGTGAAAGCAGTAAAATAAGTGCAGCGGCAATAGTTTTTTTATCTGACGTGCTACATACATACATTGTATGTGTGAATAAAAAAATGTATTTCCATGTAAAAGGGCCTGCAAGCTTTTGTATCAATTGGGCTTTTATGCTACATGTAGTTTGTAAATTACCCGCACATTGCAAACCCCCTTCGTTTTTTAGTTCAAGCTTTGACCCTGAACTTGGACAAATGGTTATAAACTTAGTGTACCGTACATGAAGAGACTGAGTACAAATATACATGCATGCATATCCAGGGACTGGCATGACTGAGGATCAGCTTGCAGGATACACTTACCCACCTATCATGCTTGTGCAAAGAAAATGCGCATTTCTTCATTTCAATACCGCACAATTACCGCACCGCGGGCAGAAAGGCAAGGAAGACTGTACTCTGAAAGGTCATGCCCTGGCGAGGGACGCAGCGATCTTATAGACAGCCTGAAGAGATGTCTCTCTATACAAAATGTACATTACTTGAGAAGGGAATCAATGAAGAGAAAGAACTGAGCTGTTGGCGACTGTGATTTAGTGTATGGGATTATTTATGGGATTATTTGCATAATTAATTCAACATTTTTTGTCAGAGTGGCATGTGCCTTGAATTATGATTATGTGATGCACTTTCAATACATGGCTGTTGTACAGTGTTAAAAAATTGTAATTTTTATAGTAGGAGGGACAGCCCAGCACAATGAAAGCATCTTGCAACTAAAGCAGATTTTTTTGTAAATGATACATGTACATGTATTAGCAAAAAAAATATTTGTAGCAAACATGGCAAATGTGGGCATACAAACACAAATGTATGCAGAACAGCCATTGATACATGTACATGTACCATGCATACCAGTAGCAGTGGAAGTTTGTGTAGTGCTGTCCAAAAACTTTTGTACATGTACTTGAGTAAAGTAATTTTTTTAAATAAAATTAATTCAGAACATTTTTGTACATGCGTACCTTACCCACTTCTTCATATTACTTTTTAGAAATATTTTGTGGGTTCACTGCTGGTATGTTTAATTTTGCACGTTGTCGCATCCAGCTTAGTCCAACCATGGAGAAATAAAATCAAACTTGTTTTATTTCTCCATGGTCCAACTGTACCATACGTACATGTACATACTGATTTGAGTGCCTGTTTTTAACATTCTTATAAAGTCATCCATCCAGGCTTAATTGTGTTTCTGTTTTCCAATTTCTAATCTATTGTTGAACTCTCTCTCAGAACACTCCTTCGTGTATTTTCCAATTAAGCCGCAGTCCATCCATTGTACAGTATGGTGCCTTGTTTATCAGTCAGTCATGGCCTTCAAAATCAACCCACACAAATCTGGCATATTCCCAGGGAAACTATTAAAGCTTTTAATAACGAGTAGCCTCTTGTTCAGATCAATTATTATTGAACCGTGCTGAGGTGTTTTTGAGTTCTGAAGAGTCAATATTCTGTGTAGGTTTAGCCTCTAAATAGATATTGACAGACAAACTACATTGTAATAGCCATCTTAATGCAGTTTGTTTGCTTCCAGTAACACCACTTAAAATCCGAAGAAGAATGTTCCATCCTAACCTGTTGGAGTTTCAGCTCAGTGGATAATTACACTTTTCAAGAAAAATGTGAAAAAGAATGCACTTGTACCCGGTAACCTTTTGATCACTAAACAAGATTTATCAAGTAATCTTTTTCCAAAAATCAGTCAATTGACTGATCATTGGAAATCAGCAACATTTCTTGATTTCTTCTGAATGACAGCAAGCCAGACAGAATAATTTCACTGGATATTAGTACCAGTACCATCTTTAACCCTAACCCTGCTCAGTGAATCCAACAGGATCCAACTACAAATATGTATGTCACATACATGTACCCGATGGAGCCTGTTGGATTAGGCAGTTAATTACCCCTTGTGTACATTCCTCATGCAAAATGTTGGATTCAGCAGGCAACTGAACCGCATTATAACGCATTGTTGGACTCCGTTGGATTCAGCAGACAACTGAAAATGAGGCACAGTGGATTGAGCAGGAAAGTCCGGTTGGACTCTGTTGGAGTACCAGGGGGTTAATTCCAAGAAGCTTTTTGATAATAATTTGGTAGTTACTTTTGGGATAAATGTGGATGATCCTACACATTGTATGCCGTGGTCTTTACCCCATACATGTACAGTCAAATTGAAATTGTAAACTAACAAACTTGAAGAGAACTCTTGTCAAACATTTTTGTAAGCTTTGTCAGGACCAATTAAGTTAATTCGGGCTGATGTATAATAAACAATCCAAATAATTAATAAACCGTGGTACTGCTGCCACATGTGACACAACTTGTACTTTGTACATTGTACATGTTCCAATCAAGTATGCAAGAAATCCATCGGCCTGAGGCCAAATTTTAGTCATATTAAAAAAAATTGTGGCCTGCAGGGAACCGGTGTGCTGCTGTGACGTCCACTGTGCCCAGCAAAAGGTCACCGGCTAATTGTTTACACGCTAGAAATTTGAAACTGGAAGTGCACAGTTTGAAAAAATAAATTGACCGGTAATTCCAATAAATGTTGCATTTTATATCATAACTTTGTGTCATGTTACATGCTGTTTGAAATGACAAGTGCATGTAATATATTGTTATTGAAAAATTGCAAGGTGTACCTGATAGTCTAAAGGATACTCATCAATCAAACAAGACACATGGAACGGTTGATCAAAAGAAATACTGTATGAGCTTGGCAATGGCACTAATTAATTGGCACTAACTGTTTGTTTTAGGCAGCTATGTCATGCAAAAAGACAATTTTGAAACTTGACAGAAGTACATATGTAAACAAACCGACAGTTATCAGCAAATTGTTTTGTATGTTCTCATAATTTACAATTATACAGGGTGAGTAAACAAAAAAAGCAGAACCCAAACCCACAGAAATATACACAAATGTATTTCATATTTAAAAAAAATATGTAGCACCAAAAATAATTATGACTGGCAAGCCAATTTAGTAAACTACATGTACTTGTAGATGAAGAAATCACTTCAATTGCTCAAATAATATCATCATTTAAACGAAATGACCCTATAATCTGTTTCGTCAACATGTGATTTCAAGGATTGTCGTTACAATTGTAAAAACATCACCAGCGACAAAACCTCAGTTTAAAAGTTAAAAATATTCCACAAAATCCTTTTGAAGGCCTGTCTTTTAAAAAAGTGGATTTTATAAATCTATTGTTAGCCAAAGCAGGGTTGTTAATAAAGACATTGTGTGCTACAGTTGTTGACAGTTGTTGAAACAAGTATTCTGTGTCATTTTCTTTGCTGTTCCAAACAGTCAGAACACACAATAAATTTGCTTTTTTGGACGAAACTGAATTTAGGGTTACTTCGTTTAAATAGTGGTAAAACTTTAACGTGTAGTGCAATCAAAATAATTTTCTCACTTAAAAGTAGTTTAATAAATGGGCTTCCAAGTCATAATTATTTCTGGTGCTACATACATTGTATTTGTTTAAATATGAAATATATTTGTTTGGGTTTGGGTTCCTTTTTTTTTTTTTACTCACCCTGTACATAAATCTACATTGATTAAATAAATTTTAAAAAAATACATCTACACTACAGTGAATTGAATCTCAGTTAGTTCAAAACAAGTGGTAAAAGTATATTTAAATGCTGTAAATTTACTGTTTTGTTTCAAAAGAGTTATGAAACTTAAAATAAGAAGATACACACAATGTACATACATTCGTGGGTTATTTTCAGTTATCATTATTAACCCTCCTATGCAGACAAACATTCTGTGCAGTCAAGTGACTGTTTTTAACAGTTAAGAGCTCCCAGCCTACATAAAGCTGGATTGACTGGTTGTGACTGTTTACATAACCTGGTGCAGCTACATGTGTACATTGACTCTAGGTGATTGATAAGCCAGCTGTGCCTATACCATTTGCCTGCTATTGTTGGTTGACTGAATTTGACTAGTCACAGTGTTTGTGTGAAATATGATCTGACTGTTGGTGACTACCCTGTGTAAAAGGCATGGCAGGGGAAGAGGATTGATTTTTTTAACTGTCTGTGACTGTTCAAACAGCAGGAGGGTTATTTGTCGTTCTTTACAGTAACACATATTTATCACAGGGAATTATATTAACTTATTTAATAACCAGCCTACTAGACAAGTTGTACAAATAAAAAAATGGCCGCCTGTATAAAAAGCACTCAATAACACTGTGTGCATCTACCAGGTACATGTACATTTGTACATGTACATTCTGTGTACAGCACGAACGTTTTCATCCTACATGGTCATTATACAGTGTACATGTACATGGCTTTAAGTGGAGAACAAATTCAAGTATTCTAAAAATGTACGTAATTCATTTTAAGTACTCACTGATCACTGACGTTTTTATTACAGCAAGCATTTTTCATATGAGTTGAAGTATGGTAGCATTCACCGAAATAGGTTTTATATATCGCTCTCAGATCATCTACTTCAAATCGTTGAGATTAATCATTAACCCAGACAACTCATTATCGGCCAAAGTCTGAGGAAGTTGTTTGCTAAACTCTTGTACTTTAGTTGCATCCCCTTAACCCCACTACAGCCAATCCTGGGCTTTCCCGCAGCATTTTTTGGCATTTTTCGTCATCAGGCTGGCACGATAAGAGATTTAAAAAACGTCCCTTTTTTAGATTGTGCATTGCGAAAGTGCCCATTCCGTTTGCAGTTTTAGCACTGGCAGGTTGTGCTGAAAAGCATACAGTGTGCGTGTGTGTGTATTTCTGCTAAAGACATTGATATCATTCAAGTTCGTTGTGAGTATCAATTAAACATAGATTAATATACCGTATGGTATAGCCATGCCACCTGTGATATTGTCATGCCTGTTGCAGGTTTCATCAGCCAAAATTCTAACTTGTTTATGCGTGTTTCTCATGTGATTCCGTATTAATTTTTTTTTACATAACATGATGAAAACCCACCCATTCTGGTGATAAACAGGCAGTGTAAAATAAGCTGGTATGCTTTTGCATGGAGAAATTAAAGTGGACATAATGTGACAACATGTACATGTTTCCATAAATTAGTATGACATGCTCTGACAGTGCAGTAGTGTACATGTACTTATTTATGTATGTAAATGATAGTGGTACTACACTGTAGGTACAGTAGCAAAGCTTTAACCCTTACTCCATAGAGGGTGTGAAAAATTATATTCATAAATACCCAAGACAGTTTACCCATTCCTATTGGTCAAGAGCTCGTCACGTGGCCGGTCTTAAACGGTTGATAAAGACCGGTTGGCTGGTCTTAAACACTTTCCCAGTGTCGCATGAAATTTGGACTCCTACATACAGTGTAAATCCGGTGCCTTTTGCCGTTTTATTGGTTGAACATTCACAATCTTCACATAGGCATGTGCAATACTACCAGCGAGTCAGAATTTAATAGTCCCAAATTCACAATACACCGGCACAGCTGCGTTGTGCGCCACATCCTGCAGTACCCACGACGCGCACGCCAATTTCCATATAAGGAGTCGTTTACTACACTCGTGAGACTGGACATAATATAGCTAGAGCCCGGTGTCCCGAAAACTTTTTGAAAAGTTTGATTATTTGACCGGACAATTATCAGCATCCAGAATCAATCCAGTCTTAAACAGAGTGTTTGAAATCGGCCAAGCACACAGTTATTCCATTATAAAACTTGGAGGATTCAGGACTGAATTTTAAAAAAAAAATTACGTGAGGTATCCAAGTTGCCCAGTTTTTGTTTTTATTGCTTGTACTTGTACACAATGTACATGTACCTAAAAAAAAATGGCATTAATATTGCCTACAAGGTGCCTTAACCAGCTCACGTCAGATGACGTGTATACACGCAACGGTTTTGCGGTATTCAGAACAGATGACGGATGAACACGCAACGAGCGAAGCCGGAAATATCTTTCAGGGACCCGCTCGCAGCGAGCAAGGCCGGAAATATCAGGGAGTGTTACCTATAGATGATGCCCTGAACCCGTCTGGCATCGAGGTTCGTGAAAAAAAATCCAGTGCCTGGGTCCGGTAGATAACAAAATAATACCGGCGCAAACTGGTTAAAGACCGCTAATACAACCCTCTGGCTAAAACCTTGGTTAACGGTACGGTAGTTAAATCTCACACTTAAATTTCATACTTTGTTTCCAACAGATTTGCCGTTAAACTGAGACACTGATTTAGAATTGGCATCAGTTCTCAAGAACAAGATGTCGACTCTCTCGCCCTTCATCCTTTCAAGGCCGTCGCCCAAACCCAAGAGGCGAGGCGGCACGGCCTCCCCCCTCACCAAAAAGAAACGCCCCTCCCCAAGAGCAGCAGAGAAGATGCCTCGACCGAGGAGGAAGCAAGGGGTTGCCACGGACACCAGCAATCGTCGAGGAGGCAAGAAGAGACACCAGAGAGAGGGAGGCAATGGGGTTCCTGCGGTGGCTGAGTGTCAGGTCAGTCATTTTGGTTCTGATTTTTTAATGCATCTCTTGGAAATGTGCACCTCAAAGCTCTGTTTCTTTCAGTGGTTTATCTGTATTTTCCTCCATCCTGAAAAATCTTCCAAACACTTTCTTGTGGATTCTGAAGGATATGTTGGGGTATTAAGCATGATAGGTTTTTGGCAATTTTGTCAAAAGGTTTTAAAACATTATCAATAAAATTCCAGATGGCATCAAGTTTTACATGTACTTTACTTCCAGGAATTTTGGTTAACCTGTCTGCAACAAACCGTGGGTAAATTCATTAATTAATGGAAACACACTTTGCAACATCATGCTTTGTTTCAAGTACCGGTAGGCATGCACTTGTACAATGTATAGGTACACATTCATATACAGAGACTGAACTTAAAATTTGCAATTCTGTATGTACATGTAAATGCATTCAAAAGCAACTATGATTTGATATGATGTGGAAAAAATTAATACACTGTAACCAGAAGCTTATACATGTAGGCCTACCGGTACATGTACATGTATACTGAGGAAGGAAACGATTGAGCAATATAAATTTATGCTACCCACTCTGGTTTTAAGTCCCATGATATTTGAGAGTGGTAAAGTTACAGACGCCTGCCTTTGTAAGTTTTCTGAAAGGGCAGTCAACTTTGTACTCAGTCGACAGCCTTTTAGTAAAGGTTGATAACACCCAGTGTTATTCCACTGAGGAGATCATGTTGCTGGATTCAATTGTTATTTTGCGTGGGAACCACACTTCTCACAGACTGTACATGTATGGGAATAACATTTTATCAAATAATTGTCTGAAATTCTAATAATTATTATTTCTTTATGCACTCAGTAGGCGCTGCATTTACAATGTAGTTTATAATTAAATATCAGGCCGTCTAATTTTGTTTGATAACATTTCAGGTCAATCTGATCCAGTCGACAAGCAGTCTGCAGAACTTTTACTTATTTTCATATAGGCCTATACGTTGTAACTATATTATTAAGATTTTCCACTCCAGAGTTCTTCTTATTGGATTATTAGGAATGCAAGACTTTGTTTGAAGATTGCAAAACAAAATTCTGTAAAAGCATAAAGATTCACTGTTTGAGAGTTAAATCTGTCAATCTGTTTTATGTCCATTTTCTCCCATCTTTACCACCTACTTATTGCAACAACGCACTCTGAGTGGGCCTGTCATTTTGTTTGGATTTGCATAATGTGTAGGAATTCCAAGGTGACCTCAACCGACTGATTAGCTGGTTGACAGCGACCATCGACCAATCAGAGCAGTGGAAAGCGCCCTCTAACAACACCCTTAGCCTCCGAGTACAGCTGGAGAAATACCTGGTATGTAATTTAGCAAATTAATGGCACAAATGATGGGTGTAAAATGTGTTAATTGTTTAAAGCAAGTGCTTGTTCCCAATGGCTTACCTTTACAACTTTTTTAATGAACGAGGCTTTGCCTCACCTGCTACCCGGGGGAAAGCGGCTTTGCTGCCTGTCGCCTGCTTCAGGGGGAATCGCCCCTTTGTGGGCTAGGCGAGAAAATCACCTGCTTCATGCGTGATCAACTCGTGAACGATCAACACTTGAGCACACATGCACATGATATACACACACCTTTTGTGTTTTAAAGTACCGTTATACATGTACAAATGTAGCTGTGGTTTGAGCAACTCTTTCTCATAACCTTTATTATTCAATTCAAATTAAAACAGTGTATATTATCAAATTTGTTGAAGGAACATCTGTTCAGAGTTTTTGTTCAGTTTGATTTTCTGGTAATAAAACAAAGGATCTCTTAAATAACTCGCATGAGACACTTTACAATACATGCACATGTACCTTGGACGCCTGAAGAAAGTATGGCAGTTAAAACAATGAAAGCAAAATTTTAATTTTGTTGGCGGGAGAAAAAAACCCAGGATATTCCAGGCAAACCCACAGAATTGGGTGGGGATTCACACCTGGGTCACAGAGATGGAAGGCAAAAGAATGACTCCGAATTTAAGTTAAATCTAAAACTAAAAGAAACATGTTCATGTACATGTACTTGATATATGTACGTGGCCTTATTATTCTACACCATAGATAAAAATACATGTTCCAAAATAACTTTTTTAAATTTTTCACATTGACTGATTCTGTACATGTACATGTACAGGATAGCACAGTAATTTTGGCCATGCACATCCTAAATGTGATATATTTGAGTGCTTTTAAATGTCATAAACGCATCACAGACCAGCCATTACTGTAATTCCCTGTACAGTGTGATGGGCACGGAGTCATGCCAAAAAGGCTACATACCATACATGTGCGTGCATTTAATTGCCTGAGCGTATTTGAATGGCACGCCAACTATTTGCCGTTGGGACTTGGCATCAAATGCTGATGATACCATCTGATAGATGGATCTGTGGGTATCCTTGAACTTTTCTAAGTTGATTTATTCTGTCCACAGGAATTTTTTGTAATTGCTACAAACATGTACATGTACATGTACATGAAGAGTTTGTCTGATGAGGGCAGTTAAAATATGACTTCTTAAAATTATTTCTAAACACTTGTTTCAAAGCAAAACTTTACGGTTTTGTTTAAATTAGATGCAGTTCTCAATTATAAGTGCTACACATAAGTGCTCAATTATGGAGAAGCTACATGTACACGTACGCAAAATGCGTGTTTAAGTAATAGAGATGACCAGCTTTACATTTTAAGAGAGCATCGATATCTTTTTTTTTTTAGGTATATCGTACCTGCACAAAACATTTGAAGAAGTAAATTTATACTGATTATACTGATATACTTTCGCTCCAGAAGAAGTTAATATTACCAAACAATACCAAGATAACACTTAATGTGTATACATTATAACCTGTCAAATGGAGGGAGTGGTATACATACATGTTTACATTTACATGGGGGAAATAGTGAAGCTTTATCAGGACATTTTGTTTTTTAAATGTTGGTGACATGAACAAGAATCCATGCATTTACATACTGACCGGTAGTTTGGTTTTGTCTATATGTGACCTGTTCTGTCAAAAGCAGATGCTTCTGGGCAGAGGTTGAAATTGAGATAGGGCCAAAAAACGCTGTGGGGGTGATTTTTATCAATTTTCATATTTTTGCATATATGTAATCCTGAACATGCCTAAAGTATACTATAAAAGTTTGAAATATTAATTTGAACTCTACATATACTATTTTTGATGATTTGTTAAGGTATATCAGTTAAAGAAATTACTGTTTTGTGACGTTCGTGGCCATTTTCTCCGTTTTCTACTTTTCGACACAATGAACTTCAAAATAGCATAACTCTGCCCAGGAATGACCGGTTTCAAAAATTAAACCACCTATTAAAAGGAAAAAGAACATTTTTTAACAATATGTAAAAATATCATTTTTGGCCTTATGCCCAGAAAAGTCTGATTTGACGGAACAAGTCACATATTAGATTGCAGAAACAGGCTATAAATGGGAAAGTACATACATGTACATGTACATGGTCAAGGCATAAGTCATAAGCATAGCTATGACTTATAGCTATGAGGTATAACGTAACAATGAGCGTCCATATGAAACAGTACACTGAACTTGATTAAAGGGGACAACCTAGAAATGTCACATTTTGATAAAATAAAACCTTGAATCAGTGCAGTAACAAACGCAGAAACACTGGAAAATTATTCATGCAATCAGACAGGCAGAAAATTCCTGCCTGTCTGATTGCATGAATAATTTCCCATATGTACAATGTACATACTGGTACAAATCGCTAGCTACATACATGTATGTAAGCCAAGGGAAACGCAGAAATCCTTTTCTAATAAGATTTGCTGAAATCCTGATATGTGGTTTTTTATTGACCTTGTTTTTTCCAACCAGAAGCATCTGACAGGGCCAATATCAGACACTGTCCTTCACTTTCTTGATGTAATTATCTGCTTATAATCTTGATCGTGTACTACAAATCCACTTTATCAGCTGGCACAGTTGATGGCTTACTGTACCAGTAGTTTGCTCACGGCCGAGAAGTGATATGACCGATAATTTTTGAAACTGCTGGTAGTTACAAAGTAGATCTGGAATTGGCATTAACTTTTTCTTTGACAAATAACGAGCATAACAAAATACAAACAAGATAAATTAAATTAATTTTAACTCCTTAGAGACGTTTTTGCATGCACATGAGCTCAAAAATCAATCCCTCCATGTTGTGTAACAATGGCTGGGCTATACACGTGATTCAGTACATGTACCTACATGTATACGCAATGGCATATAAGTCCACTTGCGCCGCAATTTATTGCACAAGTTGGCAACATTCAGTTATGGCAATTTCACAAAAGTTTCATGGTCATGGCATAATTGCACAATCATTTTAGGTGGCATGAGTTGTGGCGTAGCGACTGAAAATGTTTGTATTTTACCAGCAAATTGTGATCGTCGTGGAGCCTGTTGTTGCCTACCTTATCAAGGTTGATACGAGACACTCACAGCATTGTGTTTGAAGTAAAAGAATTGCTATTTTACTCCTGACAGAGTTTTTAGGGTTGCCGCACGATTCCAACATGTCCAAGGAAAGTTGGATAAAAGTATTTTCAAAATGGTAGGCAGAGGTGATTCAATGACTGTTTCATGAACAAACAAACAAAATACACAAACAGCCGTCGTAAAAGCTGTTAATCCTCGTCCCACATGTTTAGATTATTTAAAACATTGTGCAGCTTCGCCAAGTTTCTTGAAATTGATTGTAAGTTTATTGTGCAGCTGGGCAATAAACTTGTTGTGTAAGAAACATGTATGCACTGTTTCAGTGAAATCAGCTGCAGATAATCAACAGGATAACAAACATGTACGTAACGTACATGTACGTTGAACGTCAACATTCTGTAAAATTGAAAAGTTGCCTATTCCAGTCGAACACTTGGTGGCGCACTATACATTTGTGTGAGTCACTTCTTACTTTTCTTCCCACAGAAGCAGAATTTTTTCACCAGAGGATTACCAAACTTGCCACATTTGATTCAGTATTTTCATGTTATTCGTAGATAGTGCATGGATTCTCCATGTAAGAAGTTCAAGGACATGAATTAAAAAAAGGTGCCAACATGTCTTTTTAGTTTTTTACATGTAGTGTGTCTTGACAGGGCATTTGCATACATGTAAAACCATCAATATGATAAATCGTTAGTCACCTTGTTTACGTCAACCCCATTTTAAGCTGACCTAGGAAAAATGCCAAGAAGTGTTGCGGCCAAAATAGATACATCCTGTCATCAGCGTTCTGTCTATCAGCATCATAAAAATGACCCTGTTTTCTTTTTTTCTGTAGACTTTTGCCATGGAACTCCAAACTCGACAACACCTTAAAGACAGCGTTTTGCTCAGGGGTCAAGATCTGATCCAACTGTACCCCCAGCTCACAAGCAACCTTCAGGCCACCCTTGAACTCATCGATAGGCAGTACCAGCGGCTGGAGGAGAGGCTAGACACCCAGTTTAGACAGCTAGAGGAAGCGTTGGCATCCCTGGAGACTAGCGCCAGATCAGACTCTAAGGTAGTTGACAGTTTTATTTCTGACCGTTATTAGTTTCTTGGCACTCCATTGGCCAACGAGAGTTGAGTCACATTTACGCACAGGTTCCTGTGCTGGTGTTATTCTGGAGATGATTTCAGTTGTAAGTTTCACTACACTAGCGGGGGAAGGGTTTAATAAAGTCGTCTCTGGATGAACCTGTTCAAATTTGGATTCATACTAATTCTGTAGAAATCTCCAGGATTTTACGTGTGGTACATTGTAAGTATATGCTGTATTCATGTATACCATCAAGAGTTTTGCCTTATTTGCATGTCAGAAAATGGTATATTGGACAGTTCCTACTTGGCGCAAACCCAAACTTGTTATACACGTATTAACATTGCAAATCTGCAAAAGTGGAACACAATTCAATTCCAGCGAATTTTGCAGTGAATGTTTTCTGATGTCAAATTCGCTTCGCATTTGCATTAACGTGAAGTATGAACTAGCCTGAAGACTATAAATAAGATACCATGTAGAGGTACATGTACATGTAAGTGGAGAGATTCATTATCACGTGTGTTGGGGAGCGCGTGTTGGGGATATGTTGCCTCCATCCCACCCCGCCCCTGTCATCATGGGTGGGGAAGTTCGGTGACAACCCAACAGTGTTTTGACAGGAAGTGTTTCGCTAGTTTTTTTTTTCAACCGCTTTGCACGAAGATCTATGCAGTTTGTGTTTTTCATTAGGGAACTTCCTGTTTTTATCCATCTCGGTTTGATGTTTACAGACGGTTACCGTGGGTTTCAAGTCAGTGTGGATAATATGCTGTGGTGGGGCAGGCATTATTTTTTGAGTTTCATGCTGCATGTAGCAGTTGATATCACTGAACTGTGTCTGGAGCTCTTGTACAATGTAGTATTGACATTTGATCGTTCTACATTTGTGAGTTCTTTATTCAAGTTGAGTGTGTGGTTTGCTGTACAATGGCGAATGCTTCTCTTTCACTTGCAACAAGTTGGAATTATGTATGTACATGTACTGTCTGCTACTGGTAGGCCAACAAAAAAGTTTGGTGTTTTGATGATAAAGCTTTGACATTGAGCCGATACTGGATCATGGACAAAAGGTAGGGCTTTTAGTATACATGTGGATGATGTGATGTAGACAGATTTGGGGATTGAATTTTTGTTGTTGTTTTTATTTTAATTTTTTTGGGGGGGGGGGGGAGGGTATTTAGAGTAGGGGTTGGTTTTGTTGGCAGAAAATGGAGAGACAGTGATTTTCATGGAACGTGGCAAATAGTTTTGAATGAGCTTTAAGTGCAGAGTTAAACAGTGTGAGACTCAGTTGCGCCATAATTCATCTCAGATGTGTTAATCAACATATCTGAGATAAATAAAATAAATAAAACATGCACGTGCCTACACGTTATATACAGTGTACATACATTGTATTGCTATTCAAGTTAATCTACTGAATTGCTATCTTACATACCGGTACCTAATATTAACATGGTTGAAATGGTTTATTATTTTGTTTTGGACTTCGCCAATATGATGTAAGCAGTCTGCCCAATTCTCACAGTGAAGGGGACAATCCACTATTAAAATTCTCAAGATGATTTTACAGTGCATCTGAGTCTCGCATGGTTTATTTAACTCTGCTTCATGTACGGTACCTTAAAGCTCATTCAAAATTTCTACTCCTGACTTTGTCACTTAATTAAAGTTGACTTTGTGTCCGAAACTAAAAAAAAGTGAAGACTACATGTATAAAGAGTCCGTGAATCTCGATCAGGTCAGTCAACAGGAAGGCAAGTTTCCTTAGTCATGTTAGTAGTTCACGTAAGCTTACCTGCATGTATGTCCATGACAAATAGAAGCTAGTGTGTGGCACAAGGGAATATTATCGTCAGTGAACACATCCAACTTGTGACCTATTTTTAGTCCTAGCCTAAAGTCGCTAGTGGATTTGTGTCTTTGTCCCTCATTTTTTTTTTTCTAATTACATGAATTATTTTAAACATTTAAAAGTTGAACGAAGAAATTGACTTGAGCGGAGTTTTGACCTGCGATCTGGAAATTACTGTACCCTTGCTCTATCTACATGTACATCAAACTGAGCTATCCAGCCCTATGTTGGCGGTTCCCCATTTTGTCAATAACTTAAAACTGTAGATGTGTACAATTACCATCAGATTATGTTTTATCAGATTCAGAAGTTACTGTTTACCGCTCAGTGCTGAAGAATGTTGTGTGACTTGCACATTATTTGCTTGTAAGCTACTTCCCGTCGTACCAACGTTCATGTATGTCATTTTTCTGCTTTCACGAGTATTTGGTTAACTTCTCGCAAGTACTCGACCAGGCCTACTGTTTACAACCCAAACCCAGATCAGCGCTGTCCAGTGACAGAATCTTTTAGTTTAAAAGAGATCTTGTGTTGTATGAAGACATAAGTTAATTTACATGTAGTACATGTACATGTACATGTACATCAGCAAAATGTTAATCCCGAAGGACAAATGCATTTAATTAGTCATCGTCAATTGCATCTAGTCTCTGCATTTCCTAATGGACAGTCTGTGAAAAAAAAGTCAGCATTGTGTCTGCCACCGTAGCCTTCATTGAACAAAGTTGACATGTTGCAGATTGATTAAATTCAGGTCAAAATGTTCTCAAGACATGGGAAGATAACTTTGTGGAAGCTGTCCCCCAAAACACATGTTGATATGATGTTACTACCTGAAACCAATAGGCAACACATTACATGTACGGTTTTTTTTAGAACTGAGGTTGAAAGCATTTCCTAAGGATAGTGACTCAACCCTCAGAACAGAAATCTGTCGGGATGAAGCGACCATACTAATATTAGATGGGACAAGTTGAACAGGTGTTATTGTCTAGGGAAGGATATCAATACTGTAAATCTGTCTCTGTGTCAAGTACAATACTTCAAGACTGCTGTAGGTGTGGGGATGGGCAATGTGCCAGCTGCTTACTGTGTTACCTTGAGTGGGCAGTAAAGACATTTTTACACTATCGCCTTGACCACCCATGTTGAAATTGACTTGGGTTCACTGTGAGTAGAACTACATGTAGATCTCATCAGCAAGTTATACCGTTCACACTTACAAGTTGGTAAACAAGTCGGTCTAAGATTTGGGATTTTCTACCCGGGTAACTAGAGCCTCTCAACCCTGGTCCTTACCAGGATTGAATTTGACCTGTGTACCGGTACATGTGTAGACTATTTTCTGGGGTGAAACCAGGCTCGTGCGAGTCGCGCGCGCTCAGGTACAATAGTACACATGCACCGCTGGCTCCTTCGACTAATAGGAATACTAACCACCGCAGTAAAAGCTTCTAATTCTGGTCATCAGATTCCACTGTATAGACTACTTTGGCGACAGCCATTTTCTGAGGTGGCACTGCTGTGGCACAAGACACCTGCGAGTCACGCTCAGGTATCGCAGTACGTATGCCCTCCGGGCTCCTTCCACCAATAGTGTTACCAAAATGGGCGCGTGCCTCATCTTTAAGAATGCGTTGCTGCGTGCACGCAAGTGTGGCACCACCTCAAAAATGGCTTCTACTTTGTTCTTAGTTTGTTCGCCGGATAAATCTAAGCTTCTCAAAAATGAGGATGTGTAAACACATTATTTTAAAAAACCTCAAACCCAATAAATCGTCTGCAGTGTACTTGGATGACTTGTGAGCTTAGAATCGACATGCTCATTGAAAATTTGCAATCCAAGTAAAAAAAAATGGCTACATGTAGGTAGGAGCATGCAATAAACAACACATGGTATTTGGCCTAATAATTTGTTGTTTTTATTAGTAATAATTAAAAAACAATATCTGTGTACCTCCAGTTTTATGTATCAAATTACAAGGAACAAGAAAAGTAATTTATTTACATGTAGAACAGATTTATTGAGCTGATGTTTTACCAGTAATTTTTGTTTTACTTTGGTGCGCAGAATCATCGATCCTTTGATGCAGAGCTGATCATGGACTCTATCGAGCAGATGTCGTTTCGTCTTCAAAACAGCAAGAGACGCAACTCACCAATGGAAGTCAGTGTGAAAACCTTGAACAAGCAGGTGGATACGTTCAACACAACCAACAAGTAAGACTTGCCGTACATTGTGAAACCTAACATGTGTTTTACATAAATGTATGTGTCTCTCTTTACCACATATTGGTTTGGATGGAAGAAAACCCTTGTGTTTACAACAGGAAATCAACATTTTTAGTGGATTAGGCTACTTTGCTAGACATACATGTACAACTTAAATCAGTTAATTTTCAATAATAATCCAAAGTATGAGATGGTCCTGTGATATTAACTTGACATTTTCTGTATAATTTGTTTATTCAAAGGCTGTCCTCAACTGGAGGTAGTGATTCCTCTTGTAGCTCCTCCCCCGACTTTGATGTTCTATATGAGGAGCTTTCGGATTGGCTGAGTGAACTACACATGGCCGTGACGGACAGCCAGAAGGGCCAATCAGATCAGAGAATGGAACAGATGTTTAAGGTAAACATAAACATGCTTCTTGAAATTATTCAAATTCTTCAAATGGTTTACTGAACGTTTTTTGCTACACGTATGTAAGTTGACATGCAGTGCTACAAAGAGCAAGTATGAGCAGTACTTGTTGGTTTCGGTACAGCTAAAATTGCTCTCTACCATGTCTACAGACCATTTTCATGTTGCGGCCATCTTGATTTTTTTCCCATTCAAATCAACGTAACCAAAGCGAGGCTGGAAGGAAATATAGTCTGGTACCTTTTTGCACAAAAACCTGTTATCATTCAGTACTAATATTGGATACAGGGAACATGACTCAAATGGTGGCAGCATGATAAAGGTCTATACATGTACACCCTTGTTTTGTGCTACCTATGGAGTGGTGTATCTGCTGCCCTCTTTGACCAAATCCCACCAGTTGTATCAGTCGCTCATTACTGGATGAATATCTGAATGAACTGTCCCTGCGTTTTTTGACCCACTTTAAAGCACCAGCTTTGAGCACAGGGATATTGAAATCAAGTGTGAAACACCATGATTTAAGTGAATTTATTGAGTTCCGAATGAGCTTTAAGGTAGCAGAGTGAAATAAACCGTGCGGGAGTTTGATGCACTGTCAAAGCATCTTAGCCCTAACCTCCCCAACGGCCCTAGGGTACACGCATGAGCTGCACCATCCTTGTTGACAGATCTGCTTACAAATGTAGATCAATATAGAAAATCTTATGATGTCACTAATATTGATTAAAAAAATAACCCGTTCCCTTGATAACATCTCAGGGTTACACCCAAGAGCTGCACCTCCGTGAGGTGACCCGGGCCAAGCTCAACAAGAAAGCCAACCGTCTTCTCGCCCGGCGCCAGTCCACATCAGCCGACGTCACTACCAAACTCCAGTCCATCAACGACCAGTGGGCCAGCCTGCAAGCATGTCTGGAGCCCGGGACGGGACCCAACGCAACCTCCTCCCAGGACCTGCCTTCCTTTGCTAGCTCGGAGGAGGTCATGACGCTGACCTTGGAGGTTGAGGAGGTCATAGTTCAACTCAAGGGATGGTTGACAGAGATGGAGAGGAAGCTGTTTGCCACGGAGAGCATCAAGTGCCCTGGCAGCGTGGAGCATATGGAGAAAAGACTTGAGGCTCACAAGGTGAGCATTAAAATCAGTCTTCAGAGTTCACTCTTGCTGTATACTGCATCCTCCAAAACACATTATGAACAACTTGGTACCATATAGTGGTGTTCCCGAATGTGGCACACTTTGAGGTTTCCCCAGACTTTCCTCATGCAGTGTTGCCAGACTTTTTTCTTGATAAACTTTGGATTCAGTCAGTAAAATACTGGTACTTTCACCTTAATAATGTTTGCTGTTGAACCGTTGTGGACAGTTTCAGTGTCATGAAATTTAGTCCGAAATGCAAAAACGGTGGCGTCCAGATATTGAGCACAAACCGGGCGATTGTTCCCTAACGTGGCGCACTTGAATAAGTCTCACAAAATTCCAAGTCAACATTTCAGAATTGTTGAATTGTTAAAAAATTCTGATAAACCATTATCTCTACTCGCACACCCAACTAGAAGTTTGTCAGAAATTTTTTATTTTTGGGCGCAGTTTCAAAGGGTCCACTGTGCACTTCGAAATAAGATGGAAAAATCACGCCAAAATAAATTCTCTGCTAGTTTTGGAATGGGTGGATAAACTCAAGATTTATGAACGGGAATGTTTAGAGCCTGATAAAATTTCAGTTACTGTGAATCTTAGGAAAACTTTTGCTCTAGCAAGAGGCAAGAGGCAAAAAATCAAAGTGCATCACGTTTTGGACCGCGTAACATTTGGGGACATCAACAATATTTTTTCTGAAAATATTTATTTTTATTTTTAACATCACTTGTTGGAGGGTACAAACAAAAGTCGGGTTTCAAAATTTTTTCGAAGTTTTTCAAGCGATTATACTATTTCCTCTTTGTTTAACTCACTTTTGTTTATATGAGAATAAAAGAGGGGCTGCAAAAATAACGTTGGCATCATTTTTGGGCAAGCTGCAACCCCATTCAATTGACCAAAGTTTGACAATGCACTATTATAAACTACAGTCTCTATTTCAACCGAGCCATGCAAAGGGTCCATTGGCCATCCATCAATTCACTGTGGAGGGCTAATTTCATTTTGTATCTCGATGTTCCCATGTAGGAGCTTCAAGTGGACATTGCCAAGAATTCGGAAGGCATCCAGGTGGTGCTGAACATGTGTGAGATACTACAGAAGGACAGGCATGCCTGCGCTAGTGAAAAGGAGAGAGAATCCCTGCAGCTGGCGGCATTCAACTTGGAGCGGCGCTGGCAGGCCATCCAGGCCCAGGCGATGGCACTGCAGTGCAGTCTGGAAGAAAAACTCAGAACCTTCAAGGTACAGATCAAGAAAATCTTGCCATTCATTTTAGTGTGTTACATGTAGATATTTTTTTGGTATCATGACCAACAAATGGAACCTGGCCAGGTGCATATTAAAGGTTGATAGAGAAATTGACTCTGCTGGGGATTGAACCTGATGTCTGGAGGTAGCAGGTTCAAATCCCACTCCAATAAATTTCTTTCTTTACAATTTTGCATTGAGTATATCTCATAGAATTTTAACGTTGGTCTATTCTTCTTTAGACATTATTGCATTTATTCTTATAATTGAAATTGCGATGCATAATTTATTTTTTTCCTTCATTGTGTTTTGTACATAAATGTATTGTAAACAAAATTCTTTATATATTTGTGTGTCTTATTTTTGTTTCTTTTAGTTTGTGTTTACATCTTTTTGTCTTGTTTTTATTTTTCTTACCAATTTGTGAAGTCTGAGGACATTTATTATCATTTTATATATATATGGAACAAGAGCAGATCTCCAACTCTCTAACCGTCATTTTTCTTCAGTTATGGATGCTAAGTAGCAAATCTTTTGCACAATTTTTGTCCTATTTTTGTTATTGACTTGAGTTTTCAGTCCTTCATGTCCTTACTGATTGTCTTACAGCAATCTTTTGCTTGTGTTACAGGGAAACAGCACAGTATTTGGTGAAGATTGCCAAAGCACAGCCGCCTCTGCTACAACAGTCGTTGACAACAAAAATATCCCTTTGCCCACCTACAAATCAAGTCTCCTCCCTTACAAACCATCTGGGGCAAAAGACGATTCAGCTTTATTCACTCTCGGCGAGGGAATCAACTACGACGATATACTCCTTGTTCGTGAGGCATTCTCTGAGAATGATGCTTTCAGCATGAGCGATGCTTCCGAGGTATCCCTGGGCGACTTTGCATTCGATGATGTCCTGCCCATGAAGGGAGAAGATGAAGACGTCACTCTCTCTGTCCCATCTCAGACCCCGGACATCATGGAGTTGAGTGATGAGATGATTGATGCCTACCTCAAGATGGAAGAAGAGCAGCTGAAGTTGGAGGAGTCTGGGATCGACTGTGACATCCTCCCAGAGGTCGCAGAGATCAGGGGCAGGAGCAACTCGGAGTTGGAATTCTGGTCCATGTCCCCAAGGGAGGACCTCCAGATGTCCAACTCCGTAGAGCTCCCGCATGTCATGCACTCTCTGGTAGATCTGGACCAAGAACCAGTCCTACTCAGAGACAGATCTGACTTGCCAAAGTCATTTTCGGCCCACTCCTCAACCAACTACCAACCGATCACCTTGGGCAAGTACAGTACTGGAACGGTGGATTTTATGTCCTCTGTGGTCGAAGATGCTCTGGAGAGTCTCTGCTCCGATGATGATGAGTTTGATGAGGAGTATGAGGATGTACATGAGGCAGATGATGAAGAAGATGTAGATGTGACCCTGACTGAAGAACGATGCCAGAGTAGAAGTCTGGATGATTGTAATGATTGTAATGATGATGATGATGAAGCTATTGGTAATCTTCTCTTTGCCATGGAAGACTTGGATGAACCCGACCCTTCCCCCACTTTTGCCCTTAAGCCTGCCAAGCCTCTGAGCCACTCACTGCCACTGACCCACCGCACCTTGCCAAGCAGAGATGTCCCAACCCACGATTACCCTGCCTCATATCCTAACCAACCGTCCCCCAACACATGGTCACATCCAAGCGTCACAATTGCCAAATCTCCGCATCAGAAGAGAGGTTTCTTTCCTTCTCATGGTGGTTGCTTCTTGCCAAACCCTTTTGAGGATGTTGTCAGTAGCAGTCCGGTTAAATCAAAGAGTCCGGTCCCAACAAATGCCTCAGATGAGCTGCGTAAGCTTCGGCGACGCCTGAGTCAAGTCTCAAATCCTTTCAGTGAGGAGGAAACAAAACGTCAGCAGAAGATGACGACTCCCCCACCCCAAGATAACCTTCTGGAGATCACAGATCTTAGCCTGTCCCATATGTACGAGTCCCTGGACTTGGTAACAGAGTTGACGCATTCTCTCATGCCAGGAGTTCATTCGCCAAGACGTGATGTTGACAGTCCCCTGGATTTTCCACTCCTTGAGAGAATTGAAGACTCTGATTCAGACTCCTTCAGTGACAGCAGTGAAGAAATCGAAAGAGAAGATCTTGTCCAAATATGGATCAACGAGAACATGCCAACTCCTCCGGAAATCATCCCCTTAGAGATGCCTCCCGAGTTACCATTAGCTCCCATCTTTGACGTGGACACAAGCATTCAAGAAATCCCCACCCAGGATCTCCCCAGCCTACCAATTTGTAATCTCGAGGGAGTCCACAGTCCACAGGAAACCTCATGCTTGCCACTCACACCGTCAAGTCAGTCTGATCCAGGAATAGATGAAGAACAGGAAACAGATGGTTTCCTGGAGTCCCTCCCCGTCGAGAGTGAAGCCAGTCGGGGTCACTGCACCGACGCAGAGAGTGTGGAAGTAGCTGATGAGGAAGTGACCCTCATACAGCAGGAAGTGGTGAATCAGCCTCATTGTAGTGCTGCACTGCGTGAATGCATTGAACCACAGCCAGTCACCGATAGCACTGTTAGCAGTAATGCTGCAGACGGCAGTAGTAAATCAAGATTGGAGGGTACTCGTGACTTCAGCGCAATCGAGGAGCGACTGAGAAGAGAAATCATGGAGCAGCCCAACCAAAAGCACGCCTACTTCACCTATGTGTCCAAGCTTGCTGAGTCTTGTGCTGATGACAAGAACCTGAACCAGATCCTTGGGGACTTCAACCATCAGAAATGCTACCTGTGGTCCATTGGGGGTAATCGGGGTCAATCTAAACAACCGACAGCGGAATGCCAAGACGTGCCAGACACAGTGAGTGATAACTGGATTGATGTTGCCTCCCAGTGCTCAGATGACACCGACAAACTCCTTGAAGCATCCAGCTCTCTGGTGGAGGAGCTTGAGCGGAGTGCTCGTCTTCAGGCTAGTTCCTTACCGGAAGATGAGATAGGTAGTTGGCGTGATGTCATCGTCTTGTGGCTGGACGAGCAGTCCAGCGCTACGAAGAGCGATGATGTTATTGACACCGAGCATGATGTCACAGCCCACAGCGATGACCTTATCAAGAGTGACAATGGTATCAAAAACAGAGAAACACAAGTCGATACATTCACGCCTAGCCGCCAGCAAGAAGATCGCAAATTCATAAGCCCACTCTCTAATCGGAAGTTGGACATCCAGAATGATGCATCGTTTGATGCCACTGATGATGGCATTGTTCCCGACTCCAATCCTCAAGACACCTTTGAAGAAAGTACTGATTGTGGCATTGTTGTCGATGGGAAACAATGGTCATCACCCTCAGAACTGATTGACAGTGGACACTTCTCAGCTGATGGAACTTTGGATGTAAGTTTTAATCTTTTTTTATTTTTACATCATGATTTTAAATCAGAATTTTTAAAGCAAACACTTTACCATCCCAGTTTTTTCAAAAACTAGTAGGGCATATGTTTAAAAAAAATCTCAATATTTCACAGAAACAACTTGCCACTTTGTAGTTCAATTAGTTGTTTTGGTCATAAGGAAATCCTAAAAGCTAATGATAATGTTTTGTGTAAAATCTTGTTCATTCAACATTTGTGGAGAACAGTCCGAAAACAGTGATTGATTGAATCATCTTAAAAATGTTAACATGATTTTCCATCTAAAAAAGACACCTAATCTTTTCACATACATGTACAATGTACATGTATTTCTATTCATTCACCTAACATTGCTGATTATACATGTACTGTATACACTGAAGGAAGTGCATGCATATCAGTTTCCTTGTTATACAGGAAATGAAAGTAAAAGTGCATGTACACTATAAATTGTTTCGTGAGGATAACCATGTTGAAACAAAAACAGGTGGTGTGGCATTATGAAGGTTGCATGTAAGCTACATTGTACATGCCCATTGTAATCTGCCATTTCCTGACTTTTGTTTCATATAAGTCCTTGAAAGGAGTTTGCTTGACAGAAAATGTTGTTTTCATCATTGAAGTCAGGTGAAATATTGTCAAAGAAAGTGCACTTTTTTGCCCTTTTACATTTTTTGTTTATTTGTTTCAAAGTAATATTTTGACAAACCTTATTTGAGCCCTATTCACAGTTGGGTTTAAAAAGAAGCTACATCACATGTAGCAACTATCAGCAAGGTCAAAATTTCTTTATCTGTCATTCTATAAATTTGAGGTCCAATATTTGTTCCTGTCCCTGTTACATCTGACATCTATGATTCTGTAATTCTGATGTACTCAAAACATGCAGTCATCCTCCAAGAGTGATTTGACATTACTTGTACCCAACAAAAATAACAATTTGAAGTCATTCTTAATGATACTTGAAAGGCAAATAACAAAGTACATTTGGTACTTGGGACAGGAAAAAATGTTTTTTTAATTTTATAGAATGACCCTACTGAATACCTACATGTCAAACAGTCTGCATGGTCATGTACAGCCTCGCTTTTATCCAAACAATTCAATTCAATGCAAGGAACAAAAAAAATTGATCAGTACTGTTATAATTTCTTATTATTTTTTCACTTCAACAGGAGGAGAGCCTTTTGTGCGATGTCCAGGACCCATCCCTCAACTCCGTCCATCTGACTTCAACACCCAAGGCATCATCCACTGATGAAGAAGACGAGACTAGGAGCAAAGTCACCTCGTCACTATCAGCGACTCACACCCACCTCAATGATGCTCCATCAGGGCATCCTTTCACTACCTCTAAGCCTGTCTTTGTCTCACCGCATCAGCAGCCTAGTTACATCAGCCGCGTTCTCTGTCTTGGCCTTCCCATCTGCATCTTTCTGTTCTTCTGCGTCCTCCTCATCCTGCTTCTCCCAGCAGTCATCGTCTCGGCAACGGGAGATTGCTCCCTGTCCCTTACCGACAACATCTTGTTGCACAGTCCAAGCTGGGAGCCCATACTCTACTACGTGAGAGGGCCTCCACCACAGTAGTTGGTTGTTACTGTCGGTAGGTGATAGGACTCATCAAAGGATTTTTCATTCATGGATGAAGTCAACATATTTTTCGGCCATTTTACTAAAATTTCTTTGGCATTTCGTACACGATTGCAATGTCGAATTCTGAAATTACTCTATGCTGAGTATACTGTCGGATAAAAAAGCAAATGTGTGATATGTGTCTCATGTACCACCAAATTACCGCAGTTTTCAGGAAGTTGCAAACTTTCCATCTTTCTACACTTTGTCTTTTCTTGAAAGCAACGCGGAAATGGTCTGAGAACATTCAACGCAGATAAGAAATGTCTTGCCACATTGGGTGCAAAAACAAGAAATATGGCTATGCTTGACATCTTGCAACAATCTTTGAATGAAAATCTTAGGGAGAAAAAAAAACTTGCTGACTTAGAAACTACAAAATGGTTTGTATTCATCAACACTATTAACAACCGTGGTTGAAATAAGGTGCGAAGTACCCTAATAATGTTCTGGTATTATGTATATATTGGTGTTTGGAGTGTATATACATTGTATATAAATGTAGTCTGTCCATGTGTAAACACTGCTTTGCTGTTTTAATCTCAGTGAAGTACTAGCCAGAAGTTGGCAAGCAGTTGTAAAAGTCTTATGAATTTGAATGTTTGTTTTGTTCTGAAACATGTCATGAGGTAGATTAGAAAAAAAAAGTACATTGAAACAAATTGTTTTTAAAACTATTTTCACTTCACTCTAGACTTCATTTCAGTGACGTTCATGATTTACCTAGAACTAGCAGCCGAATGCACCTTCATATATTATTATTCAATGTTTTGATTTTCAAAATATTTAGTCGTTCCGTAGTAGTGGTTTCAGTTAGATTTAGTAGCTTTAAACGTGCACATTTACACACACACTGTGGGATTCAAGTAGGTACTAATGTATCTGAACGCGGCCCTATTGAGTGAACATTGGTGAAGCAGCAATGATTTCTTAAAGACTGTTCCTTCCCAGAAGTCTGGTAACACCAGAGAACCCTTTTAAAATGTATTTTCCGAATTTTGCCCAAAATTTGCCTTGGCAGACTAGCTTCCAACATCTTGCCTCCCTGCTCACCTTCAGTTTTATCCACCTGCCTTTCCCCTTGCCCATATTTCACCAAGCAGGCAGAACTCATTACCCATTCCTTCTGTGTTTTTTTTTTTTTTTTTTTTTTTTTCTTCTTTGTTCCAGTTACTCTTTCGTATTTTCCTTGCCAGCCTTTTGCCAATGACAATGCCTCCCATTGTTATCTACCCCTCCCTCCACCTTGTTGATGCCTCCACCATGTTGATGCCTTTACCATGTTGATGCCTTTACCTTGTTGATGCCTTTAGCTTGTCTACCTTCCGACTCCATACCCTTCTCCCGCTTCCTTTTCCTTACTGCTTACCAACCTATATTTCCCTACTGCTTGCCAACCCATTTCCTCGTCCACTCCTTCATTAAAATTCGACTATTTTTCCCTTTGCCAATTTTGTTCTCTTCACCACCACATATATTTCTACTTCACCCATCCGCATGTAAATGTATTCCCCTCTCACCCATTCTTGTCACTGCTCTTCTCCCTCCCTTAATTGACCATCCTTCATCCAATCCCTTTTCCCATCCTTTCCCTTGCCCGTCAACCATTTAGAATCCACACATCTCTTGCCAACACTGATCCCCTTGCTAACTGTGCCCTCTTTATCCACCCATCCCTTTAACATTCTTTCTTGTGTCCTGCCCTTCGGTCTTGCCCATTACTCCCCATGATACCCCACACTTGCTTACCCTTCATTTTCCCCCCTTCTTACCAACCCTTCTTTCCAAGTCATTCTCCCTGTGCATTCTTTCCTTGTGTCTAATCTTCACCACGCAAGCCCCGTTACTGTCCTGCCTTTACCTTGCACCCCCTACTCACAGTCTTCCATTTTGACACCTTTCCTCTATAAACGGTTGCCTTGTTCACCCCCTCAGAGATGAAACTTTTCCGATTTTAATCGGAAAACCGACTTTTTGAATTTTCCAACGAAATTTCCGATTTTTTTACAGTGTGTCCCACAAAATTTGATTTTCTGATGATTTTTTGCACAAAATGTCATTTTATTTCAATCATAATTTCGAAGAAAAGTCGATGGAAATGGCGTGCTAAAATCATCGCGAACGTAGTTTTAATCTCTTTCACCAGTCGTTATTGGAGAGTTTCAACGGTAGAAACACAGGGCATAACACTGATCGGAGCCTTCTCCGGATGGACAAAAGGTTAAACATTGACAGGCGACATGGAAAAATCACTGTGTCGCACGTGCATGCGGATATGCAATGGTACCAGCGTGCGTACGTACCGCACCACCGTACCGTCCGCTAGCACATGGCCGGCCGGGACGGGTAGCCTTGTGAAGGATCCTGTGGATAAAATCATTATGTTGTGCGATTTTCGGAGGTTTCAGATTCAGTTGTACAAAATGCAATGCTTTAAAAATCATGATGATTATCTCGAGGATAGCGAAGAGAGCATTAGCGAAACATTTCACTGGCATTTGTTGGAAGAGAAAGACGGTAATGCCTGATTTTTTCCCATGTATGAATGCAAGCACCGAATGCAAGTGATGAACTTTTGAAGCACCATGAACGGTGCCCTTGTCTTTCGGACTTTTCCCTCGACTTTCTCAAGTAAGAAGTGAACTTCTTTATTGATGACTCCATTAATCTAACCGTAATTTAGGCATTTTATGCAATGACAACACTGACCGTGTTTTTTTTCATTGTAAACTTTTGTTTGAATCAAAAATAAAGCAGGAGTTGGTGTCCGGAAATTGGGCATGAAGTGTATTGTACATGCATGTATTATGTGTGTAATGGCAGCGCAGCCCAGATTTCGGACACGTATTTTTGTTCGGCCTTTTTTCCAATTTTTTTGCCACATGCCAGTTTCATCTCTGCCCCCTATCTTCACCAACAGCTTACCCTGTTCATTTCCCTAACCTTTCCCTGTGCCAACTCCACGACATGCCCACCATTGCCAATTTCCCATGAACTCCCTTGTACACCCATGCCCCTTTCCCGCACTTGCCTCTCACCAGCTCTCCCATTGTTCCCATTTTCCCACCGTTGTCCCTTTCCCACCTACATGTATTCCCTTTCCCACCTTTTACACTTAGCCCACCCTTACCCAGTACACCCACCCTTTTCTCTTCCCCACTTTCCCGTCTTTCCCTCATTCCAACCATACCGTCTTCCCCACCCTTCCCACTAATAATGTACCCTTCCCACTAATAATGTACCCTTATCCACACCACCATTCCTCCTGACCACTCTTCCCTTATAACCACCCCTCCCCTAATTAGCTACTTCACCATCTTACCCAACTTACCCTTCCTCGCCCTTTCCAAATCCTACCCTTTCCCCCTTACCTTTTCCCATCATTCCCCTTTCCCATCATTCCCCATAGCCTTGCTTTTTCCAATACAGTCCCCAACCCCTAATGTCCAACTTTGCCCACTACATGCCCATTCCCCTTAACCACTCTTTTTCCCAAAATCCACCCTTCCCACTTTACCACCCTCACTTTCAAACCCTTGTCCAAGTTTCTCCCTTCAAGTGTATTTACTTACATGTTCCTTACCCAACTTCTTTCCGTTTTCTCCCCACTCTTTTACTTTCCAAGCCCCTTCCTTTGCCACCCTTTCCCTTTTCTCTATACCCACCCGTTCCTTATGTCTTTTCCCACCCTTTTCTTCCTCACCTCTTTTCCTTCCCTTCCCTACTCTTTCCCATTTTTCCCTTTCCCACGCCTTTTTCCTTTCCACACCCTTTTTCTTTCTCCACCCCTCCTTTTCTCGCCACCCTCCCATTTTTTCAAATTTTTTCCTTTCCTACCACTTTCCTTTCCCACGCCTTTTTCCTTTCCACACCCTTTTTCTTTCACCACCCCTCCTTTTCTCGCCACCCTCCCATTTCTCCTTCCCAAGCCCTCCCCTATCACCAGTCATTTCTTTCTCCCACCCTCCCTGTTCCTTCTGCACACTCCTCCTGTTTTCCTTTCCCACACCAGTCCTCCTACTTTCCTTGCCCCTCATCTTACCTTTCCTCCCATTCCCCAACCTCCCACTTCCTCCTTATCCACCCTTTTTCCCACCCACATTTCCCTCTACTGTACCCTCCCCTCAGCTAGCTGTCTGCCTTGGTCGATTATTTCTCTAATACATGTACTGTCATAGAACTCAATCAAATCAGAGCCGATCGTTCAACCCGGAGAATCAAACATGGCTGCTTAGACCAGTGTGTGTATAATAATGCACTTCAACTTGACATTAAAGTAAATTTTGTTTCTTTGTAGTAAAGAATCGAGATACAGTAAAATATTATAGCATTTAACTTCTTTTATCATTCATTCTTTCTCTTCATCTTGATAATGTTCTCCTTTGTGAATACAAAGTAACACTTCATGACTGCATTGGATAATTTTGAGTCACATCATAGATGAATATTGGCATTGCAATTTGTTAGGATAACATACACGTAAGTAAGTTTATTCCCAAGTAAAAGTAAAATGCCATTAATGGCGCTATGTATTTTTTATGTAAGAATTATTAGAGTTTCAGGCCTAATGTAAGTTAAGCATAGTAGGGTTTGATAGGTTGTCTTTCTACCAAACTGCAGGTTTAAACTACGAAAGGTTTACAGAAAGGGTCATTTTGTCCTTTGTAGAATCTTCAAAAACATTGAAAAAAGGATTTTATTTAAACTGAAAATTAAAAACAACATATTTTTGTGTGCTACGAGAATGATTTGTGAAGTCTGAGCTGCTCACAGTCATATTTTTTTTTAAAAGTATGGACTGGTTAGACTAGTATAGACAACTCCGCTTACATGATCACTTTACACACATGAGGCCCCCATTCAATGGTGAAAGCATTTGGTAAGCTGTTGTGCAAAGCTACTGCCCCGGATTATCTGAGCAAGATGCTGGCACGCTAGCACAGTGCTCTCGCCATTGAAGGGGGCCTTCGTGACAGACGTTACTGCGTGCCCGCTGCCCGGAGTGGTCTGCAGCGTCTATTTGTTCCCCATATGGCTGTAGCAAGTAGAACTACACAGCGCTCATAACAATTGAGATTTATTTTTAAGCTGGAGTAGTACGGCAGATAGGTGATGGGATTGTGCCTTTGATGATACAAGCTTGTCATTTCGCACACAGTCAGAGTATGTCATGATGAGAAAGATATTTGGCTATAGGGCCATTGCAGATTTGTCCTTTGAAAAAAATATAGGTCGAATAACAAGCAATGGCAGCCATTTGAAAATTTTGAAAATTGCTGGTTATTCTACTTATATTTTTTCAAAGGACAAATCTGCGATGGCCCTATAGCCAAACATCTTTCTTAAGACATACTCTGACCGTGTACCAAATGCCATGCTTGTATCATCAAATGCACAGTTCCCCCAAATATTTCCCCCATCTGCCCCCCCCCCAAGAGTATATCTTAGAGCAAGCACTGTTGACTCCATGCAGCAACTGTACAGCAGATGGTGCTTTGTAGCCTGCTCACAACAACATGTGCAATATACTTTTTGCACATGTGTGAAATAGCATTGAAGTTTCCATCATAACAATGAGGACGTAGTTATGCATAGTATTAGACCCCTGTCTTTCTGGGAAATGCAGGAGTTTATGTACATGTATTATGGCAGTGAGTTTTAAGAACTTTTCAGGGCTTTGTCATAAACTTAAATTTTAAAAAGAACGTTGATCAGGTTTTAGGTTTTGCCTTGTAGTAAGTGCATTGCACAGTAACGTTTGTGTTTAAAAAGTTAGCGTAATTTTGATATTTCGTAGTACATAAATATGGATAGTCATTAGAACACTATACAAATCCATGAAGGGGTGGGGTTATGCTAATGAAGCAAAACCCACCAAGCCCTGCCCCCTGTATTGATGGGTTGTATTTTTCAAATACAGGGTTACTTTTAAGTATTATTACTGTAATTTATATTAAGTATTGACAAATGAAATCAGCATTAATTATATGTACATGTATAAGCATATTTACTTAATTATATGATTTATGAAGCATTCTTTTTACTGTTTTCTAATGTCGAAAATTTACTTCTTTATTTTGAAAAATAAGTGATTTACTTTTGATTTATTTATCAATTTTCTTTAAAGTGTTCTTGACAAAAATTGAAATTTAAAACAAATAGAAGACTCAGCTGTCTTGCCAGAAGTATGTATGTAGGTCTGCTTAAGTGCCAATTGCCTAGTGGAACACAACGTAAGAATTTCCTGTTTTTAGTTGTAAGTTTTTATTTGTAGTAGAACATACCTAATTAAGTGTAGGCAAGTTATGTGCAATACTATCTGGACTTTCCATCTCCAAACTTACATTTTTGATAACAACTTACAGAAATTATTGTTTTTTAAAGGAAACAGTAAATCAACTTGACAATTTGCCAATCACGTTGACAAAACAATATATTTTTAGCACGAGGATAACAAAAATGTATCATAATGTACAAACAAAGAAGGACCTGTTTGTAATTGTAAATGTAGCGTATGTAAATTATGTAACTGTAAAAACTGTAAATTTAAGTAATTAATTATTTTATTTAGGCCTAGGCTATCAAATTGTAGGTAAGTTTAAAAACTATTGAGATATGTTTTTCCAAGAAAATGATCTTTGGAGAGTAATATTTTTGTAATGTAATGTAAGCTTAATGTAAGCGTAAGTAACTATTGAAGAAATTGGTAAATGAAATGTTTTTTAATCGTATGCCTGTTGGGAATACTTTTAAATGAAATTTTTAGAGGAACATTGGGCAGGGCTGAGCAATTTTGAAGATGTTTTAATACAGAAACAAGTGGACTAAATGTAAAAATTCCACTGACAAGTACGAATGTTGTCTAAGTGAAAATGTATGCAAATACACACAGCTTCATGAAAATAATGCTGTTTTATTTTTAA